CAAAATTTATCTCTGATTTTTTCTTGGAAACCCTCTCAAAAATGCACGAAATGCCATTTTAGAAGGTTAATTTTTCAAAATTTTCTGGGGGAGCATGCCCCCGGACCCCCCTAGGAACCTCGCGCCTTCGGCGCTCGCCTCGCGCCTACGTCGCTCGAGGTCCCCTCAAGCAGTGGGAAGAACCCCCCCCATTCAAAATCCTGGCTACGGGCATGATTTGTAATGTTTCAGAAAGGGGGGGAGGGCCAAGGAAAGTTTTCTTATAGCGGGGGGAGGGCCAGGGAAAAAAAATAAATACGGGGGGGAGGGCCAGGGAAAACCTTTTCTGCCCGATTTCCTACGCACCGGCCCTCCCCCCCCGATAAATAACGTACGGTCCCTAAGTCCGGACCTAAACCCATGACATATACAAAATTGCATGTTGGCAACCTTGCAATGTTGTCTGGGTGAAACTTTGGCCACATAACATGGAGGCCGGTACTTGACGATGCCCGATGGCAATGTTTTCTTCATTTTGCAGCAAAGATTTTGCAATTTACGGAGGGTTTTAGGTGGTTTGGAAAGAAAAGGGGTATGTGAAATGGTCTTTTATGGTAATAAGTCCGGACTCGGTTCTTAACTTTTAGGTTTTTTTGGACTTGAACCTAAACATTCTTACAAGTCCGGATCCAAGTCCAGTGAACCGGTATGCAGCACTAATACTAGGTATGGGGTCGTGGAACTCTAGCGTCATCTGATGTCACAATTCACATTGATCTGATATGGTATTCGAATAGTTCCTAGGTTGCAGCTATTCTAAATGTCATTCAACCATGTAGGTGCACATGTACAGGTCCAAAATACCAGAACATCAATGTATCGGTACTGTACCTGAATAGACTTACACTCAAGTATATAGATCTCTTACTTATTTTGTCTGTGTGCAAAAACATATAATTACCTCCGGGGAAGGAGATATCCTTCCGCGAGGAGGTTTTACTATTGTTCGAAACATTTCTGTCAGCAGCTGTTTCTCGCGATCGGCTGGACGGATTGGTCTGTTGTTCGGTATACGTATTGCTATTGGGCTGCAGATGATGCAGAACGTTTTTGTTTAATTGCATATGTGTTTATGGGCGTCGAAATAAAAGGTTTTTAAGTGCTCCGGACACACCCGTTATGCTGAAAATGGAATTTACCATGTTGTTAAGGAATGGGGAGGTTGCAGTTTTGGGTCTTAGCATTCAAAAGGGGTCAAACAGAGGGGTGTCTGGTTCTGATAAAAATTTTGGGTGACAGCAATGACGGCGCGGGATGACGGCGGGGGTAATGGCGCGGGTGACGGTGCAGGCTGTCAGACTGAGACACGTTAATCAACAGTCCATACCGAACCAACCGTCAGTAGCCATCAAACCGGCATACAAACATATTACGCACATAACTTTCATACTACACACAAACAAATAACCTAAACCAATAGAAAAAAAAACCCGGAGGTTTGAAATCTACGATTTCCCTTGTTCCTACTACAATGATTGAAATTTAGTAAGTTTGAAAAAGATTAAAAGAAATTGCATTGACTATAGTATGAAAGAAGCAGCATCTTTGGTTTTCAGATTCTTTGGAAAGCGTGCATTCTCTGCTTCAGAAGTCATTTACATTTGATCTGCTAACTGTTTATTCATGGTTCTTTCATCATTGAAAACCACTGGATACTTTTTTCCTTAGAACCGGTACCTGTCCTGATGTTACAGGTACAATAGCGCCTACCTAGCACCTACGTGGAACAGGCTAGCTACTGATTAAATCCTGTATTCAACTCACCAGGATGTACAGTTTTAGTTACTTAGGAATTAAGCTTTTGATTCATGGTACTTTGCATGTAAGATGCATGCATAGATCATAGTCCAGGGCTCAAAATACTTCTTTTGTATACCAGTAGCACTGGTACAGTAATATACTAGACAAGTTTTACTTGCTCCACTCAGAATTTAGGAACCATGGATCAGACTAAAAACTGTTCGGAAACCATAGGCATTATTTCTTTTACACTTCATAGGTGGTGACAGTCAATACAAATGAAATATGAAAATCTACCTACATCTGTACAAACATGGTAGACATCAGAAATACCTGCAAACCCCCACTTTTACCTGTACTATTACTAACCTGGATATGAAGGTGGTATTTCGAGCCCTGCAATACAATACTAGTACCATATTCAACTTAATGTAAGCTTATTACTAAGTCTTCCATGAAAAATAGAGGTATTGTTTTTGGTGTGTTTGTATGTGTGTGTGTGTGTGTGTGTGTGTGTGTCTGTCTGTCTGTCTGTGTGTGCTTCCGGAACTTTGTGGTCAGCATAACTTGAGAAGGCCTTTATGGATTGTGATGATATTGGGTATGTTAATTTGCATAATTAATGTGAAAATTCTGGGATTCCTTATTGGTGAATGATGGGAATTTTAGACCTTGTGACATGTGTAAAAGGTTAACATATATTATGTTAATGTTGAGGTCAGTTGCGTAATTAATGAAGACATGTTTAAATGAAATATTGTTAAAGGGGATAGGAATTTCACATGCAAAATATTGTAATATGAGTTTAGAAAACCATAAAGTAAACTAGATTATTGTAATTACGACCTTATTTCCATAGTCAATGAGATAAATAAAAAACATTTACAAAAACTCTACATATTTCATGGAGGTATGAGATCTCTGAATTCTTGTTTCTTTTGCAATTGGGCAAAGGTTATCCCTGTCAAAGTAGTAAAACTGTATCTCTGTGTTGCAGATGGTGGCAAAAGGCAAGGATGCATCAGACCTGTTTGCAGCTGTGGTAAAGAATGTGGTGTCCAAGAATATTGAGGTAAGATTATTAAGAATATTCTTTTTATTTGATGTCTTAACTGCACTGTTTAGAAAAATTGTCATCAATGTAGATCATACATAAAACTAAAAGTAAGTCTGTGTGTGAAATAGACCAGGAAGGAGTTTTTTATGAAAGTAACAAACACCAAAGTATGTTTGGAAGGTTGTACATTACAGTATCGGGGTAGAGACCCTGATCTGGCAGGGATCCTGATCAGAGTCTTTGTCCACAGAGATCAGGTTGCTGTTATTGTATTAGGGTGTTTTCCCATTTACAAATACTAAATTTCAAGTCAATCCATTCCATTGTACCATCAATACACCATAAAGTTCAAAACAGAAGGACAAATTTGATGCATTCATCTCTTCTGACATACTGGCAAGATTTAATGGGCTGTTCTGCTAGAAGAATGGTTTCTGACACATCTGATGTATGTTCCTGTGACTACCACTGTCAGGATAATTTCATGCTTTGAGGAGCTGATATGATTAAAGGAAGGTCTGACACTGCTGAAGGGCAGCCTACAGATTGAAGCTGAGGAAAACAAAATGCTGTGTTTTCCTGACCGACCCTAATCTTCTTTTCTGGCCTGCTGCAAGGTTATAATTTTTTTAATTTGACATATGACCCTCTGAATCATTATTTCACGCATTTTAAATTTTTATTGTGTAAATCGGGTGAACACGTTTTCCTACAATGGCTGTGCAGATTTGTAGGAAAAAGTATTTCAAGCCCTGACATGTATTTCCCTCACACGTTCACACTCTTGTCTGAAGAAAATTGCCTTGCTGAATCGCTGACAGAAACATATCATTGAACCAAGTCTGTCGCATTTGCGCTTCAACAAAAGCTGCCCGTGCTTTCAATCTCCCAGACCTGGCAGCCAGTAATAGCAGGCTAGACGGCATTAAAAGGCCAGCCCCAAAGTGTTGGGCGCGCGCACAGTTTGATTGAATTGCTCCGTTACCGAACCGTGCGTGCACAAATCGATGAGACAAATGGCTTTCCGTTGCAGCAATTCCCAGCTCCGTGGACGGGATTATATGAGTGGTAACTAGATAAC